GAGATGAGAGCTTATCTTGAGATTTTATTTTTCTTAAAAAACAAGTAAACATACAAGTAGGTTGGGTCAATTCGGTTCACCCGCTGTTTGAGGTTTCAAATTATGGCTGAACTGACTCACCATGGTTTTATTTATAAAATAAAAATCAAACTAAACCAATTATTTGTGACAAACTTACCCGAGCTAGTTCGATTTGATTAGTTTGGTCATTTTTTACTTTTTGGTCTAGACCTAGTAAAAATCAACAATTCATTTTCACAACATATTTTATGAATCTCACAATTTTTTAATTATACATTTCATCAATTTTTATTAACATTTAATAAAAATTTAATTTTAATCCCATCAAACATTTTAGATTTAAACCCTTTCATTCTCAACTTCCCCTTAAAGGGGCTTTCACCATACTTGGAAACTTGTAAGACTTCTTGTTTGAAAGCAAATTGTCACTGCATATTCTTCAATATTTTCTGAACGAGTTTTCTTTCTTCTATACATGGTTTTTTAAAGTAAAAAAACGATTTTTATTTAAATCAAATGACTAACTAACTTTTAAGTATAGTTGCATTTCATATTTTGATGGACTCTGTTTGCCGTACAGGCGTCTGTACAGAATACTCACAATGCAAGGAGGTAAGGGATTTTTTTTTTTAAATAATCACCCACGCCCACCCACCCATCAAGCATGTGAGTATTCTGTACAAACCCTGTGCATTAGGCAAAATTCTATTTTGATTGTTTAAACTACTAATTCTAAGAAATCATTTAAAATTCTTGTCCGAGAGTTAAAGTCAAAAGCTAAAGTTCAACATATTATTTTCTATTAATTTAGAGCAGCAATATTTTACCCCAACTTGATAATAATTATGAAAAGTATTGAACTCGCCTTAAATTATCCTATAGAGAATAAAATCACATGTCATGAGCGCTGAATTTGTGTTGTCACAAAAAATAATTCGAATGCTTGCATAATACAATGTATATTACAGATATATATGCCTGCCATTTTGAATTATATATTCATTTCGAAAAAGCATGTTTAAAAATTGTAGAAACATGTCACTATTTTCTGATCCTGTTTCTTGCAGGAAATCGATTTTTTGGCAGCGGGAGGAGAACCTTTGTTATTTTAATATTTGTGCTTGGAAGACTGAGCATCGATTGACATCCTTTAAAATTTTAAGTTGTTTACTACAGTATCATTTTTCACCATACATTCACACAATAAAATATTTTACACACAAATCAATAAATTTTTTGTACTTTTTAACCACATATTTTTCAAAAAGAACTTTTCAAAACTCTTTAATTCTTAAAATAATGGATGACAAACAGAGCCATGAGTGTAGGTAGGGGGTTGGGATGCCTCGGCCCATATGTATAATTAAGAAAAAATTGTTAAATTTAGGTTCAAATATTTGTGTTAGCCCAACGCTAGTTTGAATTTTAACCTAAACTCGATGCTTAATTAATCAATTTTTGTCGAAGAGGTTACGATTATTAAATACTATTTTCATGACATTTATGAAACGTGAATATTAATTTTTAAATTAGGTATTTTATTTAATGCGTGTTTGACTAAATTTACTTATAGTAATTAAGTAAATTTTATAATATAAAATTTGTATTGATAAGATTTAAAAATTACTTATTTGAATAGTTAGAGTCACTATACAGTACATGTATTGCTAAGTTTAAAAGTAATTAGTTTTTTATTTTTACATATATTTTCATATATTACCTATTTATACTTATAAGAAAGAATCAATTATTTTGGCCATGAAGTAGATGTTATTGTCAAAATAAATAATATGCTTTAGATTTGATCTTGTCAATAAAAAGAAAATTTTTTTATTTATAGATTAATCTATATAATTATATTTTTGAAACTGAGCAAAGTATGGACATAAATTAAATCTAATTTCTTTAGACCCTCATTATTCTTAGTTGATTTTTCTTCTTAGAAGTGATTCCTCGCTCACTATGAAATGAAGTGATACAGAAGATTGTTGTCAATACCAAATAATATTTTGGGACAATAACATATAGTGATGTATTATTAATTGCGTGTTTTGGCAAAAACTTTCAGTTATTTGAAAATACTATTGGTCAAATTTATTTAGAATAGTATTCATTGAATAATTTTTTTGTTTTACATTGGTAGATATGTATCCTTTGCTTATTCCAATCATGATTCGGTTAGTTTATATTTTTAATGTAAGTGTCTATTTTATTTGATAAGAAAATATAAAACGATTTAATGGAACATATTAGGGTGAAAATATCTAGAGTTCTTTTATTTCATTGAGTGGTGTACACTCTTTTACGTGAATGTTATGAATTTAGTCTCTTACGAAGCGAGTTCATGTGAAATTTTTTAAATATTAGCCCATCTTAATATCATTTTTTGGCTCCGCGCTGAATAGGGCCTAATTATGACTCTAAAGAATATCCATCCCCAAATGTCAACACTCACTACTAGGTCAAAAGATAGTTTTGACTTTTAATTATGAAGCAGTGGAAAAAAGGATAAGGTTGGGTGAGAAATTATCAGGAGTAAAATGACAATACGCAATGCAAGCCATGGTAGAATGGATAAATAATTAAAAAAAAAGTGATTTATTTTTTATTTTTTTTATTATTTTTTTAAAATTTATTTGTACTTTTTGAAAAATTTAGAAGTATAGTTACAATTTGTCATTTATTTTTCTTTTCTTTATTATTATCTTATTTAGCCCCCGTTTGACCTCTATTAATTTTTATTTCATTACATTTTATTTTTCTCTCTTCTATTTTCAATCACACAATCTTTTATAAAATAATATTACACTTAAATCGAAAATTTTCCTTCTTTTTCAACAACTCATTTTTCAAAAAAATTTATTCCACCTATTTTTATTTCGCAGAAAATGGGGTCAAACGGGGGCTTAAAATAGGGGGTATAATTGTTATTTTACAACCTTTTGTTGAAAAAATTGATGAAATGATGATTTTCGCAATGAAATGTGAAAATGAGTTTGAAAATTCCAAAAAACAAAAGGTAGGAAGATTTTGTTCAATAATATCAGAAAGTATGGACCTTTTTTGATAATTAATATTTTAATAATTTATTTGGACTCATTTATAATTTTTTAAAAAGTTTTGAAGTATAATTACAATTTGTTCTTTAAATTTTATTTTATTTTTTTTGTTTAAGCCCCCCAATTGATTCACATTCTTATAAGAATGATAATGAAAAATATAGTCATTACGAGACTCACAAGAGAGAGAAAGTCAAACATGATGGTTTGATGTGATGGATAACAGTCATATTTTTTCTTTTTTAGCCAAAAAAGGGGAAGCAAACGCGGCCTAAATAAAGGGCATATTTGTTATTTTACATTTTATTGAGAAATTAGATGAAAAAGACCATTTTTGCAATGAAAATGTGAAATTAAGGGTAAAAATATCAAAGGATGAAAGGTATGAACTTTTTGCACAATGACATTGAAAGATCCAACAAGATAGAAAATGAAATAATTTAGGTAATTTATAGTGGCTCCAATGAGAGTTAAATGTTTCAATAATCATCTAACTTATATCATGGTCATGATTTATTCACTGAACTTCGAAGTACTTTACAATGTTCACTAAACTGTCCTTTTGTTTTTCATCTATTATCCTCAAAATTCTGTTACCTGATTTGCTAGCATGACTAACTAATATATCAAGTCAAGTTACAGTCGTTAAAAAAAATTACAATCCGCCAAACTACTGTTTCATTACTTATCAACGTATATTTGGTCACAATTTACTTATTAAACTTCAAAATACTTTCCAATAGTCACTCATCTTTAAAACATTGCATTCCATCCATCATTCTTAGATTTCGTGTCCCTTCGTTGTTGACGTATCGTACAGAAAACTCACATGACAAGTTACGATCATTAAAAAATTTATAATTTAGCCAAATCATCAATTCACCAAAATCACAATATGTGAAACGTGACTTCCACAGCTCATAAACTTCTTAAACCCCAATAATGCATCCCAATTTTAGTCCTAAAAACATAGCTACCAATTCACTCATCTCACCCACGTACAGTTAAATTGTGCACTGAGATAGAGCTGGTTGTTGAGAAAGATGCAAGAAGCTACTACTTATAAAGATCTATCCCCAAATGTACAATTTGTTCAGCTTCTTTCTAATCCTAATATTTCATTTCCAAGTGTATGTCCAACTATATGAGGAACGATATGTCATCGAGACATAGTGTCACACTTATTGCGTAATTTATCCCAAAAAAAATATTGCCCATATTTGGTGGAGGATTAAAATTAGACTTTTAGTAAATTTTAATAAAAATTAATAAAATATGTGGTTATATAACGTGGATTTTATAAAAGCCATGTTTGACCCACATTATTTGAAAAAATACATTCTTAAATAGTAATTTTATATTATTTCCACTACACATTCTTCAATAAATAATATTACACGTAAATTTAAAACTTTTTATTATTTTTTAATCACACATTTTTCATCAATCCATTATTTAAAATTACATTTTTATGAAAAATAATGTGACCCAAACAAGAGCAAAATATGTGATTAAAATTTATTAACTTAAGTTAAATTAGTTAATAAATTTTAATCACTACCAAACAAGATTCTCTCTTGCGCAGTCTCTCACAAGCTAGCCCCACTGTACTGAATTTTAATCACTACCAAACAAGATTCTCTCTCGCGCAGTCTCTCACACGCTAGCCCCACTATACTGCACCTATACATATAGAGAGACTCAAATGCCGAGACACAAAAGACATCGCTGTCCTACTTCTGTTCTTACCCTCACAGTACGTGTTTTCTCTCTCATCTCAAGCAACCTCATTTGCTCAAAAACACCATTCCTGAAAAACGTAAACTGGTCCTCTATCACCGCATTCAGGGCCTTTAGACCCACTTCATTCATACACTGCGAAGAAAAATTCATTCTTCGTGGTGATTATTTTGTTGAAAAATGTATTCTTCAATGCCGAACCACTCTCTGCCATTAGGTGGGCATGGAGGAGAATTCCAGGGGCCCTCAGATGGCACCAATTTGCCTGGGGATGCCTGCCTTGTTCTCACCTCTGATCCCAAGCCCAGACTGCGCTGGACTACTGAGCTCCATGAAAGATTTGTCGATGCTGTCACTCAGCTTGGTGGTCCTGATAGTGAGTCCCCATTCCCCATTCCCTTTCCCCTCTCTATATTTATATATGTATGTAAAAAATCTAATATTGAGTTCTTTGGGGTCTGAGTTCTAACCATTGATTATATCAAATGCTTTCAATTCATCTCTTTCAAGTTGACCGTGGGGTTGACTTTTTGGGTTCATGGAACTTGAATCTGAAGTCATGTTCTGGCGTAGTATTTGATTTCATGGGACTGGATATACTGGCTGAGTATGAAATTTACAGGAAAATTTGAACTGTTTGAGAGCTTTGTTGTGAGATTTTTCAAGTGGAAAATGAATTCTTGGAGCAAAGTAGGGAAAAGTTGTGGTCCGGTTATGGTTAAAAGATTTTTTTTTATTTATTAAACACCTATTCTTGAATGGGTTCTGAAATATAATTTGTTAAAAGAATTGGTGGGTTTTTTGATGGGGATGACGAATTTATCTGCAAATGATTTTTGCTTCTGCAAATGTGTTTTAAATTTTTTTTTTATTGCTATATGCTAATTAATTGGATTTGACTTTTTGGTGCAATTAAGTTTGAATTAATTCTACTTAACTCCACTAAACTCAATTATGATCAACCATGTGCTTCTCTATTTTATTTCATTTTTATTACGTAAAATCAGAGTCTATTGTTATTATTGATAGTTTTGTTATTATAATAAAGATGATAGCTTTGATTTTTTATTATTCAAATTGTTTCTTCACTTATTGTGTGTATACCATGATTTTTGATAATCAGTCATTATTATTTCAGGCTAATGAATATCACATGGTTCCTATTCAAATTTTAGTTATCTCATCTCGATTTGATATGTTCAAGTCCATTTATCTAATATCTTCTCCATAGAAAATCGTATTCATTGATCATAATCATTTTCGTTTTTTACCCCTGAAAATTGACCAGTTAAGGTGCTTTCTTCATTTTGTTTTGTTTTGTGATCTCATATCAAGTAGATGCAGTTTTATATTAAAATCTATTGGTAGATTTTTAATCAAATTCATAAAATTTTCAATCTTCAAGTTTAGGTTATAATACATCCTGAACTACTCTTTATCAACAGCTTTGTACTCCAAATATTTGTTTATAATCTCTGGGGTGATGTTAATGTTTAAATGTTTCTGCTAACCAACCTTTTGGAGATAAAGCCCCATCTGTCCGAAGTAATTTCTACCTGATTATTCATCATGATTTGTATAATCCACCTACTTGTTTTGATTCAGATTATCGCCATTATTTAATGATTTAATTTTATTGTTGTTGAAAACAAAAATTGCCAGAGACCTTCGCCCCAACTGAATAAACTTGCCTCAGTGGATGACTTGTATATTAGGCTTTAGGTTCCATTTTCAAAGTTAACCTTGTTAAGAGGAGTAGCTCCAATCTATCTTTATTTGATGTTGATTGATTAGTGAACTCATCCAGCACGACTAAGTTCTCTATGACAGTCGAGTTAAAATTTAGTAGAATAACCATACTTATGTATTGATGAATATCGAAGTACACTGCAAAATCTATAATTTTGAAATTCTAGTCATACGCGGTCAGAGCTGCCCGAAGATTATAATCTGGTTATATACTATGGAAATACATTCCAAATAATGTAGAGATAGTAAAATTACCATAATGGTCATAAACTGTAAAAACACATTCACACCAATGTAGAGAAGGTAAAATCACACAGTACTTTTTAATGGTTTTAAAAATAACTTTAGATACGTTGAAACATGCTAATATAACATGGCAATGAAAGGATTTATTTGAACTGAATTTAACTTTTAAAAGAACTAATTTTAAAATCCTTTTTATTCAAAAATCAAGCTGTTAAATCAATTATATGAAATAAGTAAGTTTCCGATCTAATATAAATTTAATAAATATTTAATTTTGAAAAATAAGTATTTCAACTCACTCAAGACAAGCTGTAGGCTATGAAGGTCGATAAGTTTTTAAATCTTTTTGTTACCGCCTAAAATATAGTACAAAATAATCAATTTAACCGCTACCAAATCAAGAAACCCTTAATATCTAATGATGGAATACCTTTTTCTGATGACCATGGGTATTTGGGTCAGTTTAAGAGTACTTCGACTAATTCTACGGGGCTCTGGAGTTTACAGCCGGGTACTCACCTCAGTGGCCCTGAGGGGACTCTAATTGGTGACCATTGAAGAGCAAACACAAGTCTTGACCACTGAGTTACCTCTCAGGGTTATCAATATCTAATGATGGAATACATAAACTAAATTCTCGATAGTTGAATAAATTCCCCAATTCCTTTAATCACTTGAAGCTAATTCTACCTATTAATCCCTTCACTAGTATCTAATTTATCGAAATTACTTTCATCCCAAGCAATTGACATGATCTGTCCCAAATCATCCTTATGGACCCGATATGTGATGTGCGTCGATGGTAGATGTCAGCTAAGTGCTTGACCCACCACCAAAGCAACTTTGACTGTGACATCTTTTTATAAAACTTTTGACTGAGTTTCCTTTGTAATATGGATTAAAACCACATGAACAATAATCAATTTTCTCAAACCCGTATATAAATTTAAAATGGGTACATTTGCCCCTCAAAACACAAACTATTCAAAATAAAATACTGGCAAATCGACATTTACTATTATTTACAAACAAAAGTCTCCAAATGCACTAAAGATACCAAATAGGTAACGAGCCTATGATATGGATACATGAATTACAAATTAATTTTTCTGACAAAAGATGCATGTACCTAAAAGAAGTTTGAACTATATAAATTAAGAAAGTGAGTCATACAATTAATATAACGTGTGGCTCAACTCGGTGGATTGACAGGCTTTAACACAGCTCAACTTAGCTACTATCTGATAAGAAAAAGGGTGACAAAATATGAGCTTGTAACTCAGTGAGTGGATGTTTTGCAAATAAGTATACTTTTTCCGTTTATGCAAATTTCTGAAAACTCTTATAGCTCCCGTTTGGCCTCTATTTTTTTTTCCAAATTTTAATGGTTGGAATAGTATTTTTTGAAGAATGTATGGTTGAAAAAGAATAAAAAATTTTCGATTTACGTGTAATATTATTTTATGAAAGATTGTGTGGCTGAAAATAAGAGAGAAAAAATGAAAGAGAATGGGGGCCAAACGGGGCCATACTATTATAACTTTAAGAATGTTTGAAATCTGATAATACTTTTAAGATTAGAGTATAATGGAATCATAAAATTCTTTACTCTTTATTTGAATAAACCACTGTAAGGTATAACGGATATAGTAAATCTGACATCCATAGTATGAGTAAAAATATCCTTTTTCAATATTATAAGCTGAAATCTTTATTCTGTAACCTGAATAAACTTAATTTTGTTGTCCAAAATTTGATAAGCTATATAATACTGAAAAATCGCACCAAAAAGATGCCCAGAATAAACATACTCATGCATTGATGAATATCGATGTAAATGGCAATGCTATTCAATTCTGAAATTCTGGTCATACGATCGTAGAGTTGTCCAAAAGGCTATAATTTAGTCATATACTATGGAAACACATTCACAGTTGTGCATAATAGGTAAAATCACTATGATTGGTCATATATTGTTGAGATGCATTCACATTAGTGCAGAGCAGATAAAATCAGCTCGGTAATTTCTTGTGGTTTTTAAATTAACTTTAGCTATGCTGAAATATGTAATACAAATATAACATGCTAATGAAAATATTTGATTGAATTGAATTTAACTTTAAAACAACTGATTATAAAATTCATTTTATTCTAAAAATTATACTATCAACTCAACTTTGTAAAATAAGTGACTTTAAATTCAGTGAATACTTATTTTTGAAAAATAAGTTTTTCCACTCACACAATATAAGCTACAGATGAGGATGGTCGTAAGCTTTTCCAATCTCTTCATCACCACATGAAATACGATACAAGATAACCAATTCAACAACTACCAATTCAAGAAACCGTTAGTATCTAATGATATAATACTTAAACTAAGTTTCTCGATACTTGAATAAATTCTAAAAAATTTTCTTTAATCAATTGGAGCTAATATGTGCACAAATATGTAATATATCCAAATTTACCGTCATCACAAACATAAAAATAATTATATCTTCCAATCTAGTGAAAACTAGTAGCCATAATTCAACCAATTTAATTTTCATCTTGTTCCATAATTTCATGCTTTTATTTGAGTATTTTATCATCAAAATCAGTTCCACTAAGTATTCTTACTTAAGAACCCAATTAAAAATTCTAGGGTTCATTAGAATTGTTTACCTTGATTCAGCTGGAAATTTATCAATCAAGCAACTTGAACAAGAAATTATACTCCTTCCACTTAATCTGAAAATTAAACCAACTACTTAGAACCTTAGAAAAGTCAACATAAATTATTCTTTTATCACTTGAAGAAAATGGATAAATTGAACTCAAGCTTCAAGAAATGAACACTTACTTCTTCTTCTTACCTTTTTCTCTTCTTCCTCTCTTCTTTTCTTTCTCCTTTTTCTTCCTTTCTTTCCATCGTTTTCTACCCTCTGTATTGATTCCTCAGCTTTCCGTGTGTATATAAATGAAAAATGAGTTTAAAATGGCCAAGTTAGTGGAGCATTTGTAGTGGAATTCTTTCATCTTTCATTTGATATAAAATCTAGTCATTTAACTTTCAATAATAGGTAAGTACATCCCTAATTTGAAATTGTATCTATCTTAAGTCCTCATATATTATTAAATGTAAAAAAATCCACAATAAAATAACCTATTCCATTTATGTCCCTATTTGAATTTCACTTTGACTAGTTGAACCTTTGGTTTTGAATAAATAATCTTGGCTTTTGACTAGTATAAAATTAGTTATAATTGACAATATACGAGGGTTCAAGATGGATACAATATAAAGTTGGGAATGCACTTACCTATTATTGGAAGCTTAATGACTTGATTTTATATCAAATGAAGGATGAAGAACTTCCTTGTAAATTGTGATTTAGTGCTCCGCTAAATAGCACTAATTGAACCTATATTACTCATTTTTTCACACAACAGAGACAGAGAAATGGTGGGAAAGAAAAGAGAGAAAAGAAGAAAGAAAAGGAGAAAAGAAAGGAGGAATGAAGAAAAGCTTGAGTTTAAATTCTTCATTTCTTAAGTAAAGAAGAATATGTTTTATGGTATTAGTTATGTTAAATATCTAGGTTTTAATTGGTTGGCATAATTTTCAGATTAAGTGGTAGGACCATGATTTCAAGCCAATTTTTTTTATTTGAGTTTTGAATAATATTTACATCAAGGTAAGTAATATTTATTGAGTAAACCTTAGAATTTTTAATTGTGTTATTAAGTAAAGATAGTTTGTAAAAATAATTATGTTATGGAATTACTCACATGAAAGGATGAATTTAAGAAACAAGATGTAAATTAAATTGGTTGTAATGTTGGTTGCTGGTTTCACAAGATTGAAAGGGATAATTATTTTTATGCAGTACTAAGGGCTATACATATAGCTGAAGACTGAAGTGGTAAGTTTATCCAATTACAGTCTATGTTGCCCTCTAGCCCATGGGACTTTTGTTACATCCCATCCAGGAGGAAGTGCATCTTTTTGGATTGATCTCGATGATCCTAATTCCTTCTTTTCATTAGTCTAGTTTGAGAAGAGAAGTTGATACCAATTGACACGACTCCTCCCAAATCACCATAATGGACCCAACACGTGACGTGCGTCGGTGGTAGATATCAATTAAGTACCGGACCCGCCATCAAGGCAACTGTAACCTACTTTAATTGACATATTTTTATAAAAATTTTGACAGTTTCTTTTGTAATGTGGTCTAAAACCATTTGAACAATAATCAATTTTCTCAAACCTGTACATGTAATTTAAAATAGCGAGCTCATGATATGGATATATGAATTATAAATTAACTTTTCTAACAAAAGATGTATGTATCCTAAAAGAAATATGAACTATATAAACTAACAAAGTGAGTCATACAAATAATAATAACGTGTGGCTTAACTCGATGGATTGAGAGGCTCTAATACCGCTCAACTTAGCTACTATCTCATAAGAAAAAGGGTGACAATATATGAGCTTGTAACTTAGTGGGTGGATATTTCGCAAATAAATATACTTTTTTCATTTATGCAAACTTTCTGAAAACTTTTAAACTATTATAATTTTAAGAATGTTTGAAATCTGATAATACTTTTAAGATTAAAGCATAATGGAATCATAAAATTCTTTACCCTTTATTCTGAATAAACCACAAGGTATCACGCCAAAAAGGTACTCGGAAAAACCATACTTATGTATCGGTGAAAATCGATGTACAAGGTAATGCTATTCAATTCTGAAGTTCTGGTTATATGCGTACAGAGCTGCCTAAATGCTATAATCTGGTCATATACTATGGAAACATATTCACAATAGTGCAGAGCTGGTAAAATCACCATAATTGGTCACACTGTGAAAACACATTAACACCAGTTTAGAACAAGTAAAATCACCTAGGTATTTTCTGATGGTTTTACAATTAACTTTAGACACATTTAAACATAATAATATAACATGTCAACGAAATGATTTATCTGAATTGAATTTAACTTTAAAAAGAACCGATAAAATCCACTTTATTCCGAAAATAAGTTTTTCCACTCACACAGTACAAATTACAGACTACGGTGGTCGTTAAGCTTTTCTAATCTCTTCGTCACCACTTGAAATACGATACAAAATAACCAATTTAATCACTACCAAATATCTAATGATATAATACTTACACTAAGTTTCTCGATACTTGAATAAATTCTCCAAATTTTCCTTTAATTAACTAGAGCTAATTCTACTTTCTAATACCTTCACAAATATGTATTATATCCAAATTTACCTTCATCCCAATCATAAAAATAATTACACCTTCCAATCTAGTGAAATCTAGTAACTATAATTCAACAAATTTAATTTTCATCATGTTCCATAAATTCATGTTTTCAAGTGAGTATTTCATCATCATAACATTTCCACAAACTATCTTTACTCAATAATCCATTTAAAATTCTAGGGTTCGGTAGAATTGCTTACCTTGATTCAACTGGAAATTTATCAATCAGGCAACTTGAATAAGAAATTATACTCCTTCTACTTAATCTGAAAATTAAACTAACTACTTAGAACCCTAGAAAATTCAATATAAATTATTATTTTTATTTCTTGAAGAAAATAGATAAATTGAACTCAAGCTTCTTCCAATGTTTTGAAAATCGGACCGGACCGGCTCGTTCAATTGGAAAAATTGGGAAACGATCTCATATTCGGTCCGGTCCAGTCCTAATATGTTAATTGGAAATGAAAAAAATCGATAAATGACCCGTTGAACCGACCATTTTAACCAGAAACCAGAAAATTGATCACTATTTTTACCCGTTAACAAGGTTTTTTTTTTTAAAAATAAAATTACTTTGATAAATGGGCTCAAGCATTGACAAGTCCAATTTTACCTTAAAAGATAAGATTCATATAAAGTTTTCTTCAACTTTTGATGTGGGATAAGTTTTGTAATCTTTTGCAATTTATATATTTAATAATTGTTCACTTTCTTCTTTCTGTTAAACAAATTTTGGCCCCCAAAGTAGAAATAATTTCAATTTGAACAAAGCAAATTATTTTAAACACATTAATTGTTAGTTTTTGATGTTTTAGAATAAATTATAGGATAATAAATCTAATTGACAAATATTGATTTATATTTACTTTGAATTATTGATACTAAAATTTAAAAAATTGTTGTTTTTATAATATTTTATAGTTTATTGTAGTATTTATTTATTTAATTTTGATATCTGATTCGACTCCAGGTCAACCCCGGTTCGACTGTTTGACCCTTGACCCTTTTCCTTTTCCGGGATGATGTCCATGTAAGCTTTTAAAACATTGGCTTCTTCTTCTTACCTTTTCCCATTCTTCCTTTCTTCTTTCTCCTTTTTATTCCTTTCTTTCCATCATTTTTTGCCATGTCAATTAGTTCCTCAGCTTTCTGTGTATGTAAATGAAAAATGGGTTTAAAATGGCCAAGTTAGTGAGCTTTTGCAAAGGAAGTCCCTTATCTTTCATTTGATATAAAATCTAGTCATTTAACTTCCAATAATAGGTAAGTACATCCCCAACTTTAAATTGTATCCATCTTAAACCCTCATATATTGTCAATTTGAAAAATAAACCCCAATAAAATGATTTATTTCATTTAAGTCCCTGTTTGGCTTTGACTTTGACTAGTCGAACCTTTGACTTTGGATAAATAATCTTGACTTTTGACTAATATAAAATGAGGTGTAACAATCTTAAGTTCTTTGAGGGGGAATAAATTGTGTAAATGTTGACACAATAAGCCTCACGTGTAAGCAATAATAATTTCAATCAAAATCGTGACACGAAAGGGCCTTGGTTGACGATGTGAAAGGAAAGCAAATGAAATGTGGAAAGTTTTTTAGGGATTGATACCGAAACAGACTTCCCCTGCCTCCTCTACAGCCTATCTTTGTCTCGGTAGAGTCTTTCAGGGTTTGGTGGCCCGAAATTGACTTGGCTTCGCCAGCGAAGGGGGCCTGACTTACAGTTTCCAAGCCTGGCGCTACTTGATAATAGCACTCAAGAGTTAATATTTTATTTACCCGAATACTGTTAAAACACATGGAGCACTGCCCTACTTCGTTATCCAATGCTTTCCAGTATTCCCTCAGATCTTGTCAGAAATAGATTTATGGAGGAAAAAGATTGTTTATATGAATCATCTTGGTTTTACATTCTCATTCCTTCGCTTTCTGAGTATTATTCCAGGACCAATCTCTGCAGGTTCAAATATAGCTATTTTTAATTTTTGGATTATTGAGCTAATTTAACTTTCTTTCCGGACTTGCATTACAGAAGCAACACCAAAGACGATTATGAGAACAATGGGTGTAAAAGGCTTGACTTTGTATCACCTTAAGTCACATCTTCAGGTGTGCTATTTCACAATATCCTACCTGATGATCCAATCAAATCTCCAAGAAAGACAGAAAAATTGAGCTTCTCTTTTCTATTTGATTCTCGAAAACATGGCTTGCTTTATACACAAGTATAATTTCTCTGTATTTAATATTTCAGAAGTACCGTTTGGGTAAGCAAGGAAACAAGGAGGAAACTGATAACTTGAAAGAAGGTACTCACAGAAGCTCTCTGTGTACTGAACTTTTGTCACATTCCCTGCATATGCATAATGCACTTGTTGTTCAGCATGTTTTCCTTGTTGAGTTGGTAGATATATAAATTCATTATGCTTATCCAGCGAGTAAAGTCGATAAAATTAAGGTACATGATGCTACCAGAGAATCCTCCATTTATCTTATTCAAAGTTTGGACTGTTAGCCAGAGGGCCTTGGACCTAAGGATTTTTAGAATCTGTGTAAGATGAAAATCGAATGCTGGTTATAAATATTTCATGGGCAGCAAAAATTTATTTTCTCGACCATCTGAATGAACTTGACTCCACTGTCTTGGAAAACCATAGTCTGATTGTTTTTATTGATATACGGGGAACATGAGAATGCAGGGGAACTAATGCTTCAGGGGAGTGTTTTATTTACTGTCTTCGTGAATTGTAGTTACTATTTGAGATTCTGATTTATTCGTTTTTATTTTATTTGGTTGCAGCATCTTGCGTCGCTGAAAATCAGGATATGGGTTCATCTATGTCAACTTCATCAAGAATGATGGCACAAGATATAAACGAGTATATCTATTTCTCAGCAATTTCTTAACCAGCACTTACCATTCTTTCTATATGAAGTTTATTTGTTATTCTTGTTGTTACCAGCAGTTACCAGGTTACTGAGGCTTTGCGAGTTCAGATGGAAGTTCAAAGAAGACTGCATGAGCAGCTGGAGGTAGGATTCTCCCCCCTCTGGCAAGCATTTGATTAGTGATATTCCCAATGATTTGTAGTCGTTAATTTTGTTGGTAGACTTTATCTTGACTGTTAGATCAGCTAATTTCCTCTTTATACCGTGGACAGAAGTTTATCTTCAGATTTTAGATAACTCAAGCTAAGATAAATCAAAATATACTGATACCATTAATTTTCTAACTTCAGGCTAAAGCAAGGAAATAAGTTAATTATAAGAATACCTATAACAAGAACAAAACAAAATAAAAGGTAATGGAGTATAAATTTTGGAATCCCGGTCTTTTACAAACACCTGTGAACTGGCTGTGAAAGACTTTGCTTCCGGATTGGAATAGAGCACATCATTCTCACCTGGCTGGGAAAGATTCCGACCTTATGATGCATGTTAGTAGAAAGCTTTTTAATCAACATTATTCAATTCAATCTTTCACCTAATATCAGCATGGATCTTATGAATTGAAAGATTCAAATTCTCCTTTTGTTCCATAAATTTTCGAATATCATTACCTGACTATGATGCAAAAGTGTTTCTTTTTCCAAATTCTGTACAAAACAGGTTCAGAGTTGTCTCCAGCTCCGAATTGAAGCACAAGCCAAGTATCTTCAGTCAATCCTCGAGAAAGCTTGTAAGGCTCTTGATGATCATACTGTGGCCTCTGCCAGGTTAGAAGCTGCTGGGGAAGAACTCTCAAAGCTGGCAATCAAAGTTAATGACTGCAATGGCATTATGGCGGTCGACCCTCATGTATCAGAGGTTTCCATGTTAAAGGAGAAAAAAATCGCGAATGATCACAGTTTCATCTCGAATGGATGCCAAGTTTCTCCTACAGTTTCCAATTCACAGGATGCTGCACCGAGGAAAAGACCACGTCCCATTTTTAGTAATGGGGATGTGGTGCCTCTTGAGAACAGTACAAGGTCGATGGAGTGGACGATGTCAAATATTGGATGAATAGCACAGTATAGTTTAGTTTCAGTACAAGGTCTAGTTCCATTTTCTTTACTCTTCCTCTTTCGGATCAGTGGTTTGTACATTCTGCAAACAGATTGACTGGGAACCCCTTTTTGTAAATTCAATCAAATCCCGTTGCTTAGTCAAATTGTACATTCTGATATTGATCATGTTCACTTGGTTTGACAGATTCACTGGGAACACCTTTTTGTAAATTCAATCAAATCCCTTTTCTTAGTCAAATTGTACATTCTGATATTGATCATGTTCTCTTGGTTTGCAGACATCAAGAGCAATTCCCAGAATGCATGTGCTAGAAATCTAAATACCATTCACATCGGCCAATCATACAGATTCGTAATGAAATCAAAGAAACAAAAGCTCCACCACCAAGATATGTTCGTCCTGTTGAACCAATTTATTGCACGTATCTCCAAAATGACAATGTCCGGTTAGGGATGCTAACGGGTCAAGCAGAGCTCAGCTCTTGTCCAAAAAACTCTCTGGGTTCGTTCTAGTGGTTCATGGGTAGAGCAGAGCGGGCCCACAAGCCACACCTTTTTTTTTTTTGAAAAGCTTTTTGAAACTGTCGTCTTTTTTCAGGCTTGAAAATTTGACTACTTTAAATGCATGCAGAGTTAAAATTGTACACAAATTAGTTATTTTGTGTACCCTTTTTTTCTTACAAAGTGAGATATATTAAAGAAAATTAACGTAAACAAAACTTACAAATTATGATGAACTCCGACCTCGAAGATTGTCAGCTATTAATATGTCCACTTTATCTTGAATTCGAAACTCTCTGTCTTTTTAATCCTTTAAAGACGTTAAGCTCTCTAGTATATCTCTTTTTAAATCTTGATCTATAATCATATAAAATTCTATCACCTGTACTAAAAGTAGACTCCAATGTACAGTAAATACTAGAGGTGTTAGTAGAACACTTGCTACAAAGTTAAACAATTGAATATTGGGCTCATTTTCCAAAACTTAAGTATGTCAAAAGTTTTTGCATCTTTCAAATCTAAAATAATAAACATGTGAGCAAAATATCTACTTAATTCTAATGATATACCGACATTTAACGTACCTCGGGTAAGTGAAGAAGAAGAAGTATTGGAATATTGATTAAGTCTACAAGAATTAACGTAATTGAATAAAATTAAGTAGTTAACTTTGACTTCGTGTGATGACAGACTTGCTCTAGCCCTTGATGTAGGGGACCTCGAACGTTCCTACAATTCCTTTGCGAATACATCTCACATAAACTTCTCTCCATATTACCATGTGTAATTGGAGATCCAAAATTTAGTGTATTTGAAATTTCGCTTACATCGTATTTTGTACCCGATACATTAAGAGGGCGTTTGACACCCATTTTTATGAAAAGAATAACTTTTAAAATAGTAGATTAATGGAGAATGTGTGGATGAAAAATAATGAAATTTTTTTGACTTACATGTAGTTTTATTTTAATGAGAAATATGTGAATAAAAAAAAAGAAAGAAAAATATTTTGATAAAAATGAGAATCAAATGAAGACTAGAAACAACGTAAACAAATTCTCCATATATTTTCTAAATTCTGATTTTTTTTAGTGGTATGAATAAAAACGAATATGATTGATTGAACTAGTGATATAATATAAGCCCAAACATACATTCGCAGCATCGAGAAAACTTTCAGAACATCAAATGAAATTTCCTGATCATGTTATTGTAAATCAGATCAATTAATTTTTAAGTACCCAATTCCCTCTTTAATTTTAAATTTTTTTTCCCCTCTGTGCCTGTCGTATAAATCGAATCAGAAAGCTATCTCTTTTCAGGCCTCTATCGCTCAAAGCCATGAAAGATTCACAAGGTAAGTTTTTGTTATTTCTGCTGAACAGAAATTCCAAATGTTGTTGGTTCTCTTGTCGTCTTCGGTATCGGAAATTTAACGATGTAGAAATTTCATTTCAGTTTGTATTCATTTAAATGTCCTCCACTGTTCACACATCGTATTCACTTTTTGCTCAAATATTTGACATTTAAGCAATTTTTGTAATAGCGTTTAATCATTTAAATGTTGCAGATTGTATAATGTTTTGGTGGTTACTGCATTTGAACTATTGTGTGATGCGATTTTAGGATTATTTAGCTCACAATTCCATTAGTTTCCAATTCGATTCTGAAATCATTTTTTTAATCTTTCATATTTCTTTTCTTAAGTTGAGCCCTTGGATTGAAGATTTATTATTATTTAATTTGGAAATTTCAATGTTCTAGCTAAACCTATTCGGAGTTTCTGTAAATAAAATGGAAGTGGAGTTGTTAAGTTGATGAAACTCCAGGCTTTCAATTATCTCTCTAAAATATGCAGAAGTATGACAAAAAACTGTAGTAAAGATGGACACGCACTCGAACTGTTTAATTTTATAGGAAATTTTACAATTTTGAAATCAAGTTCAACAAGAGGTAAAAGGAGAAAATTTCACAACTTCGAATGTGAACATTCATTAGATTTCAATGGGGAATTTCACATTTTTGCTACTTGTACGTCTATCTAAATGGCTAAGTGGAATTTGGGGTTCGCTTTGCTCGACACTAATCCAAAAGTTGGCTTCTATTATTGCTGCCAGGTCGAATCTTCCTTAGCCCCTGTTTGTCACCCATTATTTGGGAAATTAAAGAGTTACGAATAGTATTTTGGAGAATGTGTGGTTAAAAAATAAAGAACTTTATTGGTTTGCGTTGAATATTTTGTTGTGTGAATATGTGATGGAGAATGATACTGTAGCAAACAATTTAAAATTTTTAAGGGGGTCGAACAGTCACTTAATAAAAATATGAATTTGGATCTGTTTAATGTTGTATCCCAGTCCAGGATATTTTTTATAAGATTTTAGGAAGTAAGTTTCTCTCATCTGTAAATGAAGGGTACATTTTAAAATTCTCTTCATCACTTGACATCTATTCAAAATGATACAGGCATATTGAATTGTATTGGTTTGTGATATTTTCATTGACATGTTAGTGGATCCATTTCTTGTTTTCTGCTCTGAGTGACTTGTGTTAGATGTGGCATGAATTCATCGAGAAACACTATGGTTTCACGATTTTCAAACATTATTTCCATGATAAGATCATTCTCCTCTTATTTCTACTAACTTCAGCTGTTAGCAACATTAAGTAATAAAGTTCTCTAATGTTAATATTACCATTTGGTGGTTGAACATGTAGAATATGATTTCTTTAACATTAATATTAACACAAGTTCATTATATCTCCAAGGAACATCTGAACTATGCCCTATTCTGAAGTCATTCTCCAATAAAGTAGGAGTTCTATTCTGCTGTCATAGTTTGCCAAACAATCACAAGAGATTAGATACTGAGCTCGAAAGGAAATCGTTGGAGATTAAGAGAAGTTCTTCAGGGAACAACAGTTCAGATCAATTGATAGCATAATCCTTAAATTTCCTCAGATAATAGAGGGATCGAAAGAGATCAGAGGTGTATTCCAAAATTTTTGGGAGTCAGGACAACAGAGAAAGTCATTTTTTGTTTGTTTTCGAAGCATTATGAAAAACTTACAATTAGTTCTCTATAGTTATTTTCATTTGCCTTTATACTGATGAGGACTTGAATGGAATTATTGATCACGAGGAACTAAAGAAATGCTTGCATAAGTTACAACTTCATGTCAGAGAGGAGGATATCGATGATCTTTTCCATTTCTGCGACGTGAATGATAATGAAGTGATACATGTACAATTCAACGGGTTTATTGTTCTTCTATTTCTAATTTAACTCCTCAAGGATTGTTCCACCTCATCTAACACAGTATATGCAGTGATATTACAGTTGTTTCAAAGTCATTAACTCTTTTTGTCTTGAGAAATGTATATTTGGACTTGTCAAGTGCAGGTTTATTTATTACAACAAAATTTTTGCAGACATTGAAGATGGAATTGCCAACAAATTGATGCCACCTTTAATACAACTATTGTAGAATTCTTGTTTCTTGATAAAAATGGTGAAGGAGCTGAAAAAGAAAGACGTGGTCAAAGCATTAAATGAGGCTTCTCCTCGGGAGAAATCTCCTTCTCACATCACAAGGGCTCGACTTAGTTATTAACTCTACTTGCTTCTTTAAGATTTTGACCTTTGGTTACTGACTTTGCCTTCCACAATTGTAGTCATTTTAATTCAGAGTTTCATTTTTAATGAGCCCTGCTGACCTTGGCTTATGGTACTGTTGAACGTGCAGAAGAAATGGACTTGGATAGGAATGGAAAAATAAGCTTCAGGGAATTTCCATATGCATTCCTTAAATGGATCGGGATCGACTCTGATGATGATAATACTTAGATACAAAAATAAGAGGAGTGCAGGATGGCAAAGAAACTCAACTGGGACATTTTCTGGAGGTTCGACTTATGCATTAAACTGTTAATTGTATATAAATACTGTAGTGTAATTGTAGTGTATAAATACTATAGTGCAATTGTAGTGTTTATCTTCTGTAATTTGTTTGTTTATGTGTTCTATAATTTCTTCACATTTATCTATGTTACTTCTATCAGTTTAGTCGATTTAAAAGTTCACCTTTTGTACTTAAATTTGTTATGTTTTTATGAAAAATTGTTTCACGGCGTAGTCCTGAATACTTTTCACTTTCGAGAACTTTTATATTATAAACATGGAATATTATCTTTGCCTTTACACGAGTTCTTTGCTAAATATACACAAAAATAACATTATATTCATCACTCTTACAAAACCATTGTATGCCAAGAACCTGAACCAAGAACACTTAAATTACAGAAACGGATGAATAACTTTGCTAAATTTCAATACACAATTATACACAAAACTCCTGTATGACTCATTAATCATTGTATGCCAAGAGCTTGAATTCTTCTGATGAGACACAAAGAAGGAGCATTTTTCTGTTTCCATTCTTCCTTTCTTTCCTTCTTCTGATTGATTTCCGTGAACCATTGATCATACCCGTCCAGTATGCTTACTATCTGCCTCATGCTTGGTCTTAATTCTGGATTCAAACGTGTGCATGCCATTCCTAATTTCACTAGCCTTACCAGTTCACTATTGTCGTATTGTCCATTTAACCTCCGGTCCACGATATCTTCATATGGCCTTTTCTGTGCCTCAAATTTATGTAATCTTTTTACTAATAGCACCTCAGGCTGCCGGAAGTCAACTGCCATATGTCCAGTGACCACCTCGAGCAGCACAACTCCAAAGCTATAAACATCAGCCATTGTGGTTGCTTCGCCAGAATCCATATATTCTGGTGACATGTAACCAAAAATCCCACGAACTGATTTGTTTTTGTCAACAGCTATGTGATGGCCATGTTCATTTCTTGTCAAGAACTCGGCAAGAGCAAAAGAGCCGAGTCTCGGGTTCAAGTCTGGATCTAGAATGACAGCAGACGATGTGATATTTCTGTGAATCACCTGCTCATCCCATTCCTCGTGGAGATAGTAAATAGCAGAGGCAAGTGACTTGATTATGTTGTATCGTTGCTGCCAACGCAAGATTGAATGCCTGTTTCTTTGATCATGATGGAAAAGGATGTGACTCAAAAGACGGTTTGCCGAGTAATCATACACGACAAGCATCTCTCCTTGCTCGGTGCACCATCCACGTAGCTGTACCAGGTTCCGGTGGCGGAGTCTTCCTAAATTTTGGAATTCGTTTGAGAATCTCAGCCGCAATGCAGGGCATGTTCTCATGCCTAGCCTCTTCACTAAAATATGGTGACAGTCAAGAAACCCATGGTAAGCAGTTCCAAAGTCGACTTCAGCTACTCTTCGTGAATCTGAGAAATTGTTTGTGGCAGAAATAATCTCGTCGTAGGTTATTACTCTTGGAGTTTCAACCATAGGAAAGGTATTTTGTTGGTGACACCTGTTAAAAGAAGAGCTGACATTGCTTGTCTCGGATTCAGCAGTTACATAGATGGTTTCCCCATTGGCTGTGACAAAATTTGACGAGTAGAATGCCTGTTTTGTGCTCATGGTGCTAGAAGAATGTGTTGTTGTCATGTTGCTTGTGCTACTGTCGGTTGGGGATGACAGGGAGATGTAGAGAGGGTGGGATTGAAATGATGGAAGGTCTGGTAATTTACCATAAATATTGCCAGAGACAGCTTCCAAAATCCATTTCATGCTCGGTCGGGATTGGGGCTCGTGAAGTGTGCACATAAGCCCGAGGCGTATTATACGCTCCATATCAGCAAGCTTGTAGGATCCATCTGGGAGTCGATTATCCCCTGCCTGCAGAAGTTTCCCCTCATCAGAGAGCCTCCTGATCCAATCAAGCAAGATGATTTGATCATCAGGGTATGTGAGATCGACTGCTCGTCTTCCTGAAACGATCTCCAACAGCACAATTCCGAAACTGAATACATCAGATTTGGCAGTGGCAACGCTTCGTTTCTGAAGGCTCTCTGGCGGCAGGTAGCCGATAGTTCCACCAATTCTGGTGGTTTCTGCTAGCCGAAATTGTCGGTTCTTTGATCTATATGGTGTCCTCGGTTTGTACTCAACCTCATGCTCTAGCCATCTAGCCAAGCCAAAGTCACCAAGGCGTGCATTAAAATGGGAATCGAGCATAACATTGCTCGTCTTCACATCCCGATGTATTATCTGAGTCTCCAATTGTTCGTGGAGGTAATTCAGCGCGGCTGCCAAGCCATAGACTATCTTCTTCCTTCGCTCCCAATGAAGTAGTACTGAATCCGCATTCTCTTGCCTTCGAAATAGTACTTTGTCAAGACTCTGATTGGGCATGTAATCGTAGACGAGAAATAACTGGTCATCATGAACACACCATCCTCTCAGCTTAACAAGATTCCGGTGGCGGAGATGAGCCACAGCCACCAACTCCGCCATGAATGATTTCTTGAAGTGTTCCCCTTTCTCCGCCAAGCATTTTACGGCAACCACCATCCCATCGCTAGGTAAAACTGCTCGAAAAACTCGACCGAATCCTCCACTCCCCAGCATTTCATTCTCGCTGAATCCATTAGAACCTATGTACAATTCAGAATAACTGAATATCCTCGGATTCTCACCGCAAAATTTCTCAGATACCCGCACACCTTCCGTGTCATAGAACACGCCAGAAAATCGTTTCTTTGGCACTTCTTGGTAACAGAAACTCACCCATTTCAACAACTGATGAAAGAAATCAAGCACCGGAGCGCCACAGCTGCGATTCTTTGGCTCTTTTGTTGATCTTTTATGAACCTTCTTGTGATCAACCACTTTGATTTCATCAAATTCTGCAGGTAAAATGAAGCAAAAGTTTTTTAAATGCATGATGGCTATTTTGAACTGAATCAAATTAGATAATCATGGCACAAAAGTGGGTTTTTAGTATTGATTACAAGAGAAAGTTCTGAAATTTGAATTATATAGAAGTGTTTATATTTGTTTATGCTTTTTTGAGTGCTTTTATTCAAACGCGGTTAGGTTGCATGGTTGAATTGTATGGCATGAAAGACGAAACTGCCAACCAGAACCTGACCCCCTTTGATGTATCCATTAATAACTTTTTTAACAAGTAGATACAAAATATGATATGGGCACACAACCACACACACACATGTATACAACCTTCATAAAGCTGTTCACACTTGGTTGGTGGGTGGTGGGTTGGGGGGGAGTTATTTTGGTTTCGATATTGTTTTTAGGGCCGTGCTACATATTAATTCAAATAGGCCTACAGATGCTGGCGTGCATCTGTAACACTATCTATACAGTTTATTTGTACCGATAGCTTTATTCTTATTTTTATTGTCCTTTTATTCCATTCTCGATTCTTTTTTGGGCGTGCATACGTAACTCTGTTCGTATAGTTTATTTGTACATATAGTTTTATTCTTAACTTTATTGCCATTTTTATTCCATTCTTGATTCTTCTTTAGTTTAAATCATTGTTTTGTTTAATTTATATGTTGGGGTAACTTTGATTGACTTCGCTGGTCATCATAGGTTGCTAATACAACAATTTAATGTGTGAAACGGCGTGAAGAGGAAATTTCATCTGAGGTCACTCAACTTATGGGTTTATTTCATGTTAGTCATCAAGCTTCAAACTATTTCAATTTTATCAGCTTAACTTATATTTTTATTTCAATTTAACCGTTCCATCTATATCCATTATCAAAACCGACGAATTTCTTAACCTAGCAGATGGATTTTTTGACTTGATGGATAACATGTGTTAGTAATGCGGATGTCACTCGCCATACGGAAGACTCGCAATTTTAAAACATTTCGGGAATTGATGCTATGGATTTAGCACCTACAATTTAGTAACACTTAGAGGTGGAATTGACAAATTGATCAGACCAATATATAAATTGAATGATCAAATTGAAACAAATTGAGGTTGAATGACCAACATGAAATGAGCTTGTAAATGAGTGATTTATAGTGAAATTTCCCAAAATGTTTAAAGACGCGTTAACCACACAAAATAGATAAATTCAACTCAGTTGCTGCCATTTGTTTTCCATTATAAAGTTTTATCGCAGCATAATCAGCTAAGCGAAAATCCTTTTGAACATTGTCATTCGAAGATAATTTTCAAAGAGGTAATAACGGTCTTATTGTTTTGCAATAACATACTTGACTTTCTCTGCAGTCGACAAATTTATTTTTATCGAAGATTAGATCCACGAAATTGTTGTCGATCGCTGATTGTAGACGTTGAATTTAAGAGTTTTTCATGCAATAATATCAAGTTAATCAAGTTGACAAAAATGGATGAAGTAAAATCAATAAATGATGG